AAGCCCAAGGCCACTCTGGGAGGGCAGGGTCTGGTTCAAGCCCAAGGCCACTCTGGGAGGGCAGGGTCTGGTTCAAGCCCAAGGCCACTCTGGGAAGCCAGTGTCTGGCCCTGTGGGAAGTCCCACACTGTTTCGTCCTAGAGTATTTCACGCAGCTGCTGTTTCTTCCCCCTGCAGCACGGCTTGGATAGGAACATGCTGGGAACCTTAGCCGGGCCCAACAGCCTCAGGAACTTCACCTCCCGATTCTAAGAAGGGGCTGCCCAAGCAAGTACAGATTGCAGGTAAGAATCGGCCCCCCCAGGGCAGAGGCACGTCCAGGACCCCTGCAGCTGCCTCAGCTGGTCTCAGAGGGAGAGGCCAGGCCTGTGTTCCGCAGGGCACAGAAGCATCCTTCAACCTGGCAGATGGCCTGGCCATGGCCGACGCAAGGCCTGTGAGGACAGCCATATAGGCTACTTGGCCACAGGACATTAGGGATGGGCAGTGTCCTGGCCAGAGGTCTGGGCAGAACTTCCAGGTACAGCTGTGTAGGTTATGCACTGCACAACCTAGGTGGTGCCGTTCACATGGACTATGGTATGAATGCCCCCCCCCGCCCCCGCAGTGATACAATATGTCATTCTGGGTTTGCACACCTACAGCTCACTGTCTTATCCTTTTTATAATTCACTTTCCAGTCTGCACATGCCTAATGTGGCTAAGCTTATTTCTAGCTGATGATTCCAGGGACCGAAAACTCAGAACCAGTATCTATGACAAAGGCCTGCAAGCCTTAGCTTCCAGTAGAATCACCTGGGCTGCTTCCTAAAACACACACTCCTGGCCTCAACCCCAGCAGATCTGACTCCGGAGCACTGGAGTGGAAAGTGCATTATTAAACAAGCATCCCAAGTGTTTCTGAGGCAGGTGACATCATTAACCTTCCCTAGCGGGTCACCAGAGGTGGCCCTGCTGTGGAGCCATCTGCAAAGAGCCAGGGGTGAGGACAGGGTCTCCTGAGCTGAAGGGGGCTCCTTAGCACCCTGGTTATCTGCCGACATGCCAATACCTGAGGAGGGGCCTGGTCGGGGAGAGGCTGAAACTCCAGTCCAGGTGAAGATAGATAAAACGTCAGACACCTTCTCCCGACAGAAAAGCTTCAACAACATGAGTGTGGACAAAGAGAGAAGACAAAAGTCAATAGCTTCTCAACGAGGGAAGTATGGACCCTCAGCACCGTGCGGGGCACCGTGCTCACCAAACAGGGTGGGCATGGGGGGAGGGACAAAGCTGACAAGCTTCTGGCTCAGCAAGAGTGACCTACAAATGTGTCAGGGGCGACTCGGAATGCCCTCGCCAGCCAGGGGGCACATCTGTGCGGACATGGGTGGAAAGGGGGGGCAGTATTGGCTAGACCTCCTGGTGTGGGGGTGTCTCCCCAGAAATGCTAACCGGATGACCTCTCCTTTTCCAGAAATGATATGATCCAGCTGAGAAGACCTCAGGCCTTGCTGGAGGGGTGATTCTGCCCACCCTGTGCAGTGTTTGGAAAAGTTCAAATGCAACTGAAAGCAAACCTGAAAACTGTGGATGATGGAAATATTTTTAGATTTTTTTTTTCCTTGGGGGAACTGGCAGGCAAGGGGGGTTGGGAAGGGTGGGGGGGGGACTTTTCTTGAGTTAAAGGGGCTTATGTTTCATGTCAATACTTCTTTCGCTGAGAAATGGTATATGTATATGTATAGGGTAAGTGTGTGTGTGAGCGCACGCGCACGCATGCTTGTGCGTGAGTGCCTAAAAGTGTGACCACAAACTGCAAAAAGCTAAGTAAGCTGTTTCTGCAGCTCATGAGGTGGTAAAAAGGACTCTCACTCTCCCACGTTTCCCACACGACCTGTGCTTTTTGTTTAGCGGCCTGTAGTTCCCAAAATATGTCATGCCAGGGCAGGGGACCCGCACCAGGGTCAAGTCCACAAGAAACCTTGCGAGGGAACCATCCCCCGGGCGAGGGTAGGGGGGAGGTGGGAGGGGAGAGTAACTGGGGCTCGGGCCAACCTACCCCCCGTAAGAGGCAGCTTTGCAGGAAGGGAGGCTGGCAGGGCTGCTGAGGTTCAGTGTATCTCATGGGAAACTTTAGTTGTCTGATCATGCCTCCCTTCCCGCAGGGCCACAGGACCTGGGGCTGGACAGGGTTGGGGCTCCAGGGGACGGGCAAGGACAGTCATGCTTGCTTTGCTATCTGAAGTCTGCTCTGGGCTGCAGGAGCCAGAGAGATGGGGCTGGCCATGCTCTTGGGCTGCATACCCGTCAGAGGAGGCTCAGCCTGGAAAGCCCCTGCCTTCAGGGGCTTGTCATCTATTTATTTCAGGAGAAAGAAGGCAAAATGGTGCTCAAAGCCAAAGAGCTGTTTGGGGAATGGCTGTTTGGTCTTCACATTCCCAGTGGTGAGGGGGACAGCTGGGGCCCCGGTGGGACGGTGGCCATTTGGAAATTAACCAGGAGGATACTTCCTTGCTAAGACTCAAGAGAGGGAGGGTTCTGGGTCTCAGGAGACTTGGAAGATGGGAATTTGGATAGAACAGGAAAGGGAGCTGTCACTTCAGGGCACCAACAAGCTCCAGCTCCAGCCCCAGCCGGAGGCCAGCCCCACCTTACCCTGAAAACCAGCCATCCTGTCTCCACTCTGTCTTAGGGAAAACCACAGAGGATGTGATATAAGAGGCTTGTCAGGGGCACCAGCCACACCCAAGACCCCAGACTCGTGTGCATTTCAGAGGAGAGGAAGTAGGAGGACCTCAGGAGAGCCTCATGGAAAAGCTCGCTGTAAATAGCCCTTAGTATACACTGTAAGATAGAGCAGAACGTGGGTTCCCAAGGCTTCCTGATGTCTGCCTCTGCCGCCCGCACCAACATTGTTGGTGCCAGCTAGGAATTGGCTCCCTGGTCCACAGGCTTCTCTAGAAGAATAAGAGGAGCTCCTCACTCTTCATTCGTCCTCATCCTCCTCCCAGGCCCCCTGCCCCCCACCCCGCTCTACCCCCCCGTCCAGCCCCACTTCTTACCTCAGCAGTCAGAACAGAAAAGTACCCTTCTGGATGACGGATGTGCCTGTTAAGACATGTGACAGACTGGGGCCAGCCCTGTGATGATGGGCCATTTAATCAGTGTCCCCCACTGCTGTGGGTCCGTGATGCCCTCCCCCCTTGTTGCTCATGATGGAAGGCCTCTTCCTGACTCCCTCTCTCTCAGGGGCCACGTGGGAGCGTGGTCCCACCAGGCTGTCCTGGGTGTAGGTTCCAGGATGACTCCTCTGCCGATCACCAGGGCTCAGAGGAATTCGTTTCTTAAAAAAAATACGTAGGGAGCACCAGGATGTGCCAGGCAGTGTTGTAAGCACACAGGATACATCCGTGAACCAAACAGACCACTGCCCCGTCCTCATGCAGCTTACATTCTCAGAGAAGAAGGAGGAGACACGGGATGCTTGGCTTTGGGGATCCCCCCAGTGTGAGAGGATTGTCCAATCCAGTCAGGACAAGAGAGAAATAGCCCACTACCAGTGAGGCTGTGGCTCTCAGCCCCTCACCCCCAGGGAGGTGCCCCTTCCCTTAGCCCTGCCCTCACTTCCTGCCACTCCTCTGCTGGATTTCTGTCACCAGCCGGGGTGAAGAGCCAGGTGGGCCCAGCCCTCTGCCTTGGGGAACGGTGGGCTGGATGGACAGTTAGGCCAGGCCTGATTTTGTAACCTCTTTTGTGCTTTCTTCAGCCCGCCAGCTGGGCCCGTCACCCGGGGCCTCAGACCCGTGGCCTTTGGAAGAGGCAACGCTGAGAGAGTCCTGAGGAGGCATTTCCCAAAGACAGGGAGGAAGGGGTTTGCCGAGGCCCACACTGGCCTCATGCTACCAGGGCTGACACCCCAAACAAGACATTCCAATTTGGGGCCAATGGGGAAGGACAAAGACCACTCAGTCTCTGCCTGTCCCTGCCCTGACCCCAGGATCTCTTGTGCTTCAGACAGATCTGGTCATTGGCCACCAGCAGCCTGTCCAGTGGGGGCCAGATCAGCATCGCAGACCCCACGCTTCCCCTAGTGATGCAGTGAAGGGTTTTCTCCAGACACGTGGGGACAGTGATGTTCTCTCTTGTCCACCCCAGAGCCTGGCTGAAAGGTGGGATGGCCAGGATGAGGAAGGCTGGGAGGATGGGATGGGCAGGGGGAGAGGAGCCGAGGGAAGCCCGGGAGATGATGCTGGAGGTACCCTGGAGCCCCTCTGGAGCCCAGCCTTCCATTTGCCCCATGTTTGTATAAGAACCTTGTGCTGGCCAGGCCCAGTTTCCCTGTGTGATGCACTATGTATTTGCTTTTGTGGAAATATAGGAAATCAATAAATTGCTGGCATTTCTGTGAACTTTTTTGAGCAGTGGATTATTTGGGGGTACCATTGAGGAAAGCAGAGCTGCGCACTCCCTTCCAGGCTCTCCTCTTCCTGAGCCTGCGCCAGGCTAGGACTGAGCACCACCTGAGGGAGACGGGCACCACCACGCATAAGCACCTGCTCCGTGTCCGGGCATCTGAGCCCCACAGTGACTAGATGACGCCAGCATTGATGCCCTCATCTGACAAATAAGTGAGACTTAAGGAGAGAGCAAATGTGCCCAATGTCACCGAGCTTGGAGAGGGAAAAGGCACCCCACCTGTGAATGCACCAGGCAGAGCACTTGTAGGGAAAGAAACGTCAAGGACATAAGGGGATCCCATGTTTACTGAAAGTGTATCTTACCTGCGTCCTGTATGAGGTGCTTAGAGCATCACAAAAGCAGAGGAGGTGGTGGGCCCCAGCCACAAGAGGGACATACAGGACAAGACGCACACGGGGAACTTCCTAAGACACAGGTGGTAAATTCCAAGTGGTGGCCTGGACAGGCCATCACTGCATGTCAGGGCCATCTGGGTGGAGAAGGTTGAGAAAGCTGAGGGAAAGCCTAAAGATGAACTTTTCCCAGCTCAGGAGGGTGGTGCCTGGCACAGCCTCTCTACAGAGCCGTGGCCCTGACTTTCTGGGTCATCTCTCGATTGGGTAATGGTCAGAGTGTCTAGGGAGGACAGGCTGGCTCTCAGCCCAGGGGGAGGAAGGTGGCCTGTCTGTGACCCAGATTGTTAATATACTGGGTCTGGGGCCCCTGAAAATGTCTTGAGACCTGAAAACATGTATTGGCTCTGAAATGCGAGCTCAGATTACAAATTCAAAATCAAGAAATGTCGGATGGTTAAGCTTTCCTTACAACAGCGCAGACAGACAGACAAACACACAACTTACATGTGTACTGCTCTATAAATCTTTGCTAACCGAACACCCCACGCAACCAGCACCCAGATCAAGAACTAAATGTTACCAGTGCCCGAAGGGCTGTGCCTGTAAATAGCCCCACTCCCCAAGGGTCACCACGATCCGAACTGGTAACACCACACAGTACTTTTGCCTGTTCGGCACTTTATATAAATGGAGTCAGGATGTCGCTTGCTGTGTCTGGCTTCCCCAGCTCATGGGCGTGACATCCATTCGTTACCGGTGTATATCACTTCCACGGCCGTGAACGTGGTAGTCCAACGTGGGACAATGCTGCAAAGCAAAATGCGGTCTGACACCACCATCGTGGTTACAGCTAGAATTTCTAAGTATTCGGCAACAATGGGTGGATTAGCCGTCTCACTTCCCCCAGAGTTCCCACGTGTGGTGTGATCACTGGGAAATTAAAACTAACAGCAAAGAGATGTCACTTGATGTGAGTGTGGGTGCATCTAATGTGTAGGAGTGGCAAAGGGCTACAGAGGTCCTCAATCAGCCATCCCTGGCCAAGAGGGTGGTGGGCCTTTCTGGCCCCTCAGACGACTAGCGTATGAGCATGGGAGGGCCTTGGGGTCTAGGAGCAGAGGACAGGACCAAAGTGGGGGGCACCAGAAGCAGCTGGAAGCCTAGATGGTACCAAAGGAAAGGTCCCAGGGTCCCACAAAGCAGAGTCTCCCAGACCCCCACGGCCAGGCTGCTCAAGTCTATCTGTCCCTGAGCCTTGAAGCCATTTCCTCCTGCCCCTTTGCAGCTGGCCTGGCCCAGGACCCGGATCCCGCCGGTAGTCCAAGCTACTCTAGAGACAAAGCAGTCTTTGTGCATCACTTCTTAAAATGCAGTGCATTCTGTTGCCCAACACGGTCAGAGAAAGAGTGAACAGAAGTTGTTAATACAAACAATAGTCTTTTTACTTGAGGGACCAAAAAATAACCCCCTTACCTTTCAAAGCCTTAAGGTATTCATTTTCTGTTTTGAGCTTTACCTCATTCTAGTGAGACAAGCAGAGCTCAGAGTATTACATTCCAGTGTACAGATTAAAAGAGAAATTGCCTTTCCCAGACTCACATTGCAAGTGTGTGGCAGAACCAAGGCTGAGACCCAAGCATGCTGTGTCCCAGCCCAAGTATACTCTGATCGACTCACAGGAGCCTTCCCAGCTGTTGGGGCCCCAGAACATGGTAAGAGAGCCCTGATACAAAGGCAGTAAGGTACACAATTCAACCCAGTGGTTCAGAAGCTCACACTACCTTGAGGCATGCTAACATTGCACATCTTATGAGCGCGGGTTGCTGTG